GAGTCGATAATACGCAGGCACCATCGGAGACGAGGTAGTGGTTTCGGAAGTATGTCCAGTACCGTTGACATTGGCTGAGACAGACTNTGGGACAGCGTAGACAGGCTGGGCGTTAGGAAACGGGACAGTCTGTTGTTGTGCTGCTGCTGCGGCTGCCACTGCTTGGGCCGTCGCAAGGGAAGATGCGTCACTGGGATGAGCAGGAGTGCCAGCAGCAGACACATAATAGGGTGTCTGATTAGACAACTGAAGAAGAGAGATGTTTTGCTGCTGAGTGACAGGATTGGGATACATGTAAGCGGGCGGAAACAGGTAGCCCTGGGATGACTGAAGGGCATAGAAATGCTGCGGTTGGCTGAACTGGGCCTGGCCGATGGTAGGGACTTGGATTCTTTGCTGTGGCATGACAAAGGGGAGATTAGCGTATGCTGCATGAGGAACTTGACCACCGGCGTAGAAAGGAAGCATCACAGTCTCCACAAAAAAGTTGTTAGAATCCACTGTAGTGACAGTGTCAGTCGAGGTAGTCACAGAAGGAGCCTCATTTTCGGCGCCTTGTTTGGAAGATTTGGGGTCATCTGGGCTTGCGAAGGGGCGAGATGTCTCCGAAGTAGCCGGAGTGACAGCCGGAGCGGTCGGATTAGTATCTGGTATTGACGTTTTGGACGACGGGGGGTAATTTGGCGGGGAGCGAACGACTGAAATTGCCGTGCGCTGCGAGACCCCCAGCGGTTTGTTGTCCTTCGAGTAAACAACAGTAACTGCGGGACTTGATAAAACTGCCTCTAGAAGCTCGGACTCCGTAGCCTTTGCCCAGCGAAGCCTGTTGAACTGAAGCAGACTCTCCAGTGGACACGTGTGGTCATTTTCTGAGAGAATGGTAACCAGGTGGAAATCCCTCTGAAGGTTGGCATCGCTGAAGTAGTATTCCCTGTAATAAAGGTAGTTATTCAGTCGTCAGTTGTGAACAGAAACAATCCGACACCTAAGTGTTCAAATAAGCCACTATATGTTTAATCAGGTAGGTGAATAATAACAACCTATAGGTTTGACTTTTAAGTAGCTGGCATATTCGATTATGACATATGCAAACATATCACATTTTAGCAAGCAGACGTGCTGAAAACAGCTGAGAACACCAATAAACAAAGTGCACTGCGGTTAAGATATTTACATTGGGATGACATAGGGTGACTAGTCTCGTCTCAAAAAGTGGGTCAGTTTAACACTACGAGGAAATGGATCGCAAAGTAGAAAGAAACGGCGCCCATAGCCGCGCTTGTATATTTATACACGAAAAACGGAAATCTGAAGCGTCCGAGGATATGAAGCGGTAGAAAATACTTGCAGGCAAGGACTCTACATATATTCCAACGCACTTATGCGGTCTTTAGTTAGATACAGGAGCTGAGGGTTTTGAGTGCTCAAGCCGTCTCCTACTGCAAGAAGCAGAATGCCAAAGACCTTGGTAGAGTTGGCACCAAAATGTTTTCCAAGATGGAATATTGGCATATCATCAGTCTTTTAATTTCCTGTTTTCTTCGAGCAACCGAATAAAAAGACCATTATCGACCTTAAGGACTAGTGGGAAAGTCTGTGCGAATTTGACTTTAAGGCAACCGAGACCGATTGGGAAGCCGGCATGAAATGTGAGGATACGGACCGCTAACCGAAGATACCAAGTTTTTCTGTTAACCTAACCTAAACTGTACGAGACTGCAGACTTACACACAATTTCTTCCACTCATACAGCACCCACCACTTCCCGATGACAATGTAAGCCGACGGGAGATAGGTGTGAGCGCAGTGACTACCAAATGTGCATAACCTTTATGCCTGTGCCAAATACGACCTAACTCCATATGCCCCAGCGAACGAGAAAGGTAAAGTCTGACCTCACAGTAGTGAGTGCAATGCTGCGAAGGTCATATCAAGAAGTCATTGCAACCTGACCCTCAGTCCCGAGCAGAGCCAAGTCGTTTCGTCGGTTACAAGCCCCCCAAGATACGACTGTTAGGGTGTTGTGTAGTTGCTTAGTGAAGAAATTAGGCGTTGAATTCCAGTTAAACTAGTCCCAGTTTTCCTTTTTCTGTGTTAGCGGCCCGTTGGAGTTGGGTCGACCGGCACAGCTTAAGGACGTCTCCCAATGTGTGCCACACAAACGCTGGGCCCCAAGAGTGAGGGGTGCTATAAAGCTTATGGAATGTCACAAAGCAAGACAGTGTCGATGGCGTGTTGCCTGCCATTCAGCAATACTTTACCTACCGCCGTCGCCTTGCGCATTTAGGCCCCACTCACAGAAGTGATGAGACAAGTGAACTCGTCTGTACCACATCCACGATCATTTACCGACTCTGGGACGGTAAACATTGAAGCGCTTGTTAGTGGTTGACCAGTAGCTGTCAGGCCAAAAAAGAATACAGCACAGTTCCCGCTGTGCTGTGATGTGGTGGTGGCTCTAGCTTAGGCGCCCCGTCTCGCTGGCTTAATGATACTTATTAAAATGGAGATGTGCAAGGCAGGCCTGACAACTAGCTAATCAATTAGCAAGCTGCAATTTACAAACACTGGAGGGAAACTACTTGACTTTTGCACCAAGTTGCAAGAAATTAGATAATCCTAGCAACCATAGTTGATATGAAGGAATGCCCGGTGGCAATTTGGAATAAGAAATGAAAATTACGGACTTACACATGATGACGAATGTAGTCGAGTTTGGATCGGAATTTGAGGAACTTTGTGTGATGCGAATTACGTGGCACGAAGAAAACTTTGTCGTCCACAATAACAACATCGTCTTGCTTCACCGGTCTTTCAGTCTCACTGGCTTTCACCGAGTCCGATGACTGTGATTGGGCCTCACTAGTCTCTGATCTGATCGAGTCTTGAGACTCTTCGGGTTTGTTTGTATCCGCTGTCGCCGCCGCCATTATGGCTGGGTTGTCCTTAAGCCATTCCGGTATTTTGGTTTTATTCCAACCGATCTCCATTATATACTCCAGCATTTGTTCCAGGGAAACTACTTCAGTCACTATTGATGTGACAGCGGGAGATTCGGGGATTTCACTGACGGAATCGCTGGTAAGCCCTCCAGTCGCAACGGCCGACGCCTGTAGAGGAACAATGGGTGTCGCCTGTATTTGGGTCTGATCTCCGGCCACGACTGGGACGGCTTGGGCAGGCAATAAGATCGCCTGTACTGGGTTACCGTCCAGGGCTGAACGCCTTTCGGTTACATTGTTCGAGCTGATTGTGACGCCAGGGTTGAGAAGAGCACCACCCATACATCCTGGCATAAGTCCAGGTAGCAGATAGGTCACTAAAATGCAAGATCCAACAAGATTAAAAGCGAAAGAAGCACATCT